AGGCTATGTTGCATATAATATATATATTTGACAGTATAGACTATCAGAGCAGAGAGATGTACGGCAGAGATTTCAAAGCTTACCTGCCATTAGATGAGACGAGACTGTCGTGGGAAAGAAAACAAAGCCATTTTATTAGATTGCCTTATTTTGAAGACAGCATTATTTTGAAACATATAGTTCAAAGTAAAAAAAAAAAATTGCTTGTAGTTGCCTGAAATACAGAGCTTGAACTATTTAAGACAATCCTATTCAATTCCAGGTCACCTTCCATTTTTTTGTCAGTTTACTGTATCGGCACATATAAAAATGTATCTCGATCACTGATATTATTGATGAATTCATAGGTCGACACTAATCTCTCTATGGAGAATCTGCTTCAGCATCAGTTCTGCTTTTTGATCCTCTCATTTGAATTCTACGGGGCTCACTTGATTGAGTCCTTGAGTGCCTGTTACTTCCCTCTTATCTAAAGAGATTTAACATGCCCTGTCTCTCTTTACTTACTTTATGCTTTGCTGAGTGCATGGTCAATAAATTGAGCTCCAGGGTAGAAAAACTCAGAGAGGTTTAAAATAGTGAAGTCTTTTGCCTCCGCTCCATAGTAATCAATGTTCAAGCCTAGGTAGCATTAGTAACATTATTCCATTTCCCCTCTGCCGCACTGAGAACGTTTTGTACCTTGTTTTTCAAGATGGTTGCAATCCGTCTGAAGTCTAAGCAAATACTTGATCGTCATTTTTACCTCAGGTAATGTTAATCTATTTGACATAGTAGCTTTTGTGTATTTTTTTTACTAATTGAGGTATGGACCAGATCTAACTACTATACATTCAGCTCCTGATCCTAGCCATTCGTTCAGTTCTTCCACAAATGCTCATGTACAGTCGCTTTGAATGAATCCTCACTGGTGTAAGTGTTCTTTGGATGCCATCTTAATTTTCAATTCCCATTGTTGAACAATATGAATCTTATTCCTTGGAGAGAAAGGAAAAAAGAAACGTCATGTAACATTTGTCTTGTTTTAATGTTTGTCTTGTAATGGCCTGTATGCAGCTAATAAGGGACGTGTAAACTAAGCTGTCTAAGCTTCTTTTATCTGCAGTCTTGTGGCTTAGCCTGAAAGCAAACACTTGACTGAAGACTTGGGTTTCAGTGTCTTAACTTTATTGTAAGAATGCATGATTATACTGATGTGACAGCTGAAATACTATCAAAATAGAGGTCACATTTCAGTAGATTTTATTGGCTGGTTTGTTTAAACTTAGCTTACTATGGTTTGGGCCTGTTGAAATTTCAGGATTAGGCCTGAACTGCTTCTATTCCCTGCGGTCTGAACAATTATTCCCCTCTCTTCAAACCCAAGATTGAATTTCCAAAATATCCCACTTAGTGTATCAATGATTGTGTAAACATGAAAAAAAAAGATTAGGTTTGCCCCCTTAATGGTGTGCTGCTTGGCTCCAATATTAACAGCCTGAGGTGGTCTGTATGCATCGAGTAGACACGGCATGTTTGCTTGGCCCAGAATAGGCTGCACATTTGAAATGATATTTTTAGGCTATTGATCTGAGTTCTCTGACCTTAGTAACATGCAGCGCAAGAGCTGATGAGGGGAGTGGCGCATTTGCTGTACACACACACACAACACCAGGTATTTTGTCAGGAAGATGCATGTACTGTTGCTGCCTCACTTTTGTGTGATTAAATCGCCAAACTTTCAATTCTAGTTGTCGATCGATTCGACAGGTGTCTCCCATTGGAAGTCGCCGTTCCACCTTGCTGATAATTTGCATAGAGATCATTTGTATCTAGTGATTGCCAACGGTCGCCATGGTGATGACGTGGAAATCAGGTCTCCATCATGTAATAGTTATACCAAAGACTTTATATATACAGTAAAAACTTAGAAGCTTAAAGGGACATAGCAAGTACACACAAACAAATGAACCATTATGTTAACAGTTCTTAAAATATTGTTTGTGTGTGACATTTTAACAATTTGAAAAACATTTTGCACTACAGAAAAAAAACCTTTTGTGTGATGGAAAGGTTCAATATGTAAGCTAATTCGAACAGACATTAATGGTTATTATAACGTTTTTCAAAAACGTGGTGGCCTAAAGAGAGTAGCCTACCCCGATCCGGGATCGCTTGAGGGACGGAGCGCTATTTTCTCACAACACAGTTATTTAGCCTACATTGGTGCGAAAGAAACCCATTCAGTTGACCCTGAATGTTTTTTTTTTTTTTTTTTTATGTGTTTTTTACAGAAATATTTTTTATATAATTTTATATAATTGTCGGTTATATACATAATGCATTAAGGACAGGGTGAAGAACAGGATGAAGATGTCCACATTTTTCTTAATTTTGTTTAAATGTATATTATATATATATATATATATATATATATTTTTTTTTTTTTTTTCATTTAGTAGGCTACTGCCAATCTGAAGCAACAGAGGATACTTAAATGTTTCCTAGAATCCAAATTAAGTAGCCTATAATTTAACTTGATCTTAAGAAAATTGAAGAATTTACTAGATTTTTCTGAAGAACATTGGGCAATTTAACTGCTCGGGACAAACAAGTGACTCATGAATGAGCAACCATTACTAAACAAAAACAGGTGTGGAGATAACGACACACAGTGTTGGGTATTTTTAAAAATTCAGCTTTTTTTCTTGTGGAATGTGTAAAATAACATGCATGTTGTATGTTACCTCTTATTTTGTTAAAATTAACATTTTGTAAGGTGAATGTAAACTTTTGTGTATATGATGTGGTCTCACACAGATGTATATAGAAGTTACCCTTCTTATGATTTATTCCAAACAGAAATATGAAAAGGGGTGCATCGCTGTCTGCCTGAAACCCTGTTATGAAGCTTGTTTGTATATCTGTGCACAGCATGTTTCCTCCTTAAAAACTGGTTAAAATCAACATGAGAAAATTTGTCCAAAAGGCATGTCAAATATACCCAAGCCTATCATCATGCAGATTTGAATATCCATAATGAAAAAAAATCATGTTCTCATGACGCCGTGCTCATGTTTATCATGTTTGTGGATGGTGACCGAAGATGGCAGCTTCAGTCAAAGGCCAGTGAATCTGACTTTTGTCCCAGAGGAGACGGTACAGCCCGGGCCCAATTCCACCAGCCAATTATTCCCTCCTTACACTGCCTGCTGCGAGCCCTCCTACAGGCAGCTGTCCTTCCTGGCGCCCAGTGACTAAATTTGACAAAAATAGGAAATCTCTGTAGAGCTGTGCTTGTAATTTAATCCAAAAGGTGTTTCTTTTTTGAACCGAGTTTAACACAGTCTCTGTAATGTGAGCTTGGCCGCTGGAAATGGAATGGTAATTGCTTTTCGCTTCCCAGATATGTGAAAAGGACACATGAATCATCTCCGGAGAGGGATGGTTTTCAAAACCATCAGCACTGGATGTTTTTTTTTCACCACCATCACTCACCTTGACAGGGAAGTCATTAAATTGGTGATGTTGAATTCCTTTTACTGTTTTGTCAGGTTCACTTATTCCTTCAACCTTGAAATCTTCTTTCTTTCCCACAAAAGCAGCTCCATTACTGTGAGACCGAGGTCTTAATTTTCATGAATTTCAAATCATTCCAGAACATAAGTTCCAAAAACATTAGTCTCGCTAGCTGTATTTCCCACCGACATTGTTTTATATACTCCCTTTAAATGTGTTTTAGCATACGTGTGTAATGTAGAAAATGTAAAGAAATATCTGGCCGTGGAACTTGAGTATGCAGCTTCATGTCAAATGATCAATCAGCTAATGTGGTATGGCTGCCAGTGGACCAGCACTTTCCCTACAGAAAAAAGTCTCCATATCTGACATTGGTTACAATTTACATATTTCACTTATTTAAGCGACTGTACTGTCTGCTGATTTTTGCGCTGATCCATTTGCTCTGCTTGTTTTAGATTTTATACAATCACTGAGATAAATGAATCAGTAAAAGTTCAAGGAAGTCAGACTTGCCATTTTGAGTGAGTGCAGATTTAATAAAGGATGCAATAAAGCTGAAATCCTGGCACAAATCAAACAGTGGGTGATCCGAAGCCTCGACTCCATACACTGTAAAAAAAAAAAGATTTGTCATCACAACATTTTTTTTCTTTTTTCAAATCAACTTAAATAATTTATTTAGTTGAGATAACTTATTATTTTGAGTTTCTGATGATTAAACTAATCTCGTTCATTGTATTAACTCACTTTTTCCAGTTAAATCAACTTAAAATTTTAAGGCAACCAGGTTACTTACTTTTTTAAGTTAAACCAACAATATTTTTTTACAGTGTAGTAACTTATACCTGTGCTGTGTTGAAGTGATGCGGTCCGTCGGCACCGTTTACAACATGAGTGATTCCCAGGTCAGCAAGAAGTCCTTTATCATGAGCCGCAGCTTTTTAACATGTGTCTTCATGTTTTTGATTACATAATTTACATTAATTGAACCATAGTTAATGGCACAGGTATAGTGTGAAGGTTTTCTTATCAGGACTGTGATGATTCTGTATTTACCAATCTCCAATATACAGGCTGGGCCAGATAAGACCGACAGGTCCGAAAGGTTAGTCTGTTAGTCAGTAGCAGATACCACAGATCCAATATAGATGGCGCAATGGTTTGTCTTTTGGAGCTTTTCTGTTAAAAATAAAATGTTTGAATTCAATAGAATCAATGATATAGCTTTATATATTCTGTATGCACATTTCATGGAACAGTTTGTATTTACACATATTAGTTTGACCTTTCTGCTTCTCTAATCATGTTTGCCTTCACAGACCAAAAGGAAATTAGGTGAAGATGAATGGATATCCTCTTTCAAAACAAAACAACATAATTCCTGAGGTACTGTGTAATTTATTTAATAGCAACAAGAAAAGAAAGGACACAATGTGATTTTTTTTTTTTTTGTCCCACTAGACTGAGAAATTAAAATGCTTTATCATCACAATTTGGTTTGGCCATCAGTTTCCCCAATATCCGTGGGTCACAACACCAATGGATTTGAGCAGAAACCGTAAATATGTTGTAACATATGATACCCATTAGGAACTCGCTACAGGGGATCAACCCTTAAGACATTGTAGCCATGCATGGCTCTTCCACCTTCCCATGATAAAGAGCAAGCCACAACCGTTTCATTTCACTCCAGTAAAAAAAGCAAACATGCTTGCTGGCTCATTTTGAAACAAGTTCAAAGTATATCTCATCTGGAAGAAATTTAAAAACCTGCCATTTATTTTGTGACCCTGCAGCCCTGTGGAGGTTATTTACTATTTATGGGGAAGCCCTTCATTTTTGTCTTCTGATACCCACTTTGCCATTGCACTACAATGGATATTAGCAAATAAGATCTGGCCCAAAATAACTAGAACGAGGCTCATTGTTACCAGGTTTTCAGTTACAATTTGTAAGCTTCCAGTTTTTTCTTCCTCTCTCGGACGAGGCTCATGTCAAGATGTCGTAGCTGGTTAAGGAAGCCAGGATTAGGACAGATGTCCCTGTGTTGCCGTACAGATTTAACAGCCTCCATCAGAGTAAGATCCTCGCAAATCATGAGGAAGGCCAACACTAGAGTGGAAGAGCGACTCACTCCCATCAGACAGTGGACAAACACTCTTCCTGAAGAATAGAACAGAATCAATGAAAGACACTTAGTGCAAATGCTACTTTTAGTACTGGCAGAAGAATGATTGATGCGGTTCGAAATGAACGGTATGAAGCTTCAAAACCTTTTTTTATGAATTGGTGGATTTCCCATACTGGGCAAAGCAAAGGTATAGGCTACTGAATATTTATGGTGAAAGTTATTCTAGCCAGTGGTATAGCAAAAATATTGCATCAAGCATGTTCATGAGGATGTCAAGTCAACGCTCACCATTTTTTGACAGTGCAGCTCGTATGAATCTTGCTGTTGGATAGAAAAACACACTTAAGATGAAGTCTGAGGAATCATCAGCTTCCACTCCATAGTAATCTATAGACATGTCTCTGTAAAAGCGGGCCCCAGTGTTGACATGAGGGGGTCCACTAGCAGCATTCACAATGTGTGTGATCCCCATATTGTACAGCATTGACTTGTCACGTGCCGCAACCCTGACAAAACAAAACAGAGAACATCTGTAGTTGTACATTTTATTCATTTTCATTTGCGAATGAAAAAAATCTAACACAGACTCATCCCAAGAAGTCATATAACTGACGTCTTTTCACCATACGTCAACATCCGCCTTTTTAGGGTACCCTTATACGTCGGTTACATGACGATCCCGGGCCGTCATACAACTGACACTTTACCTTTAACGTCGGTTAGGTGACGGGGTAGGTTTAGGATCCGATAACGTCATGTAACCGACGTTTAAGGGTACCCTAAAAAGGCGGATGTTGACGTATGGTCAAAAGATGTCCGTTATATGACGTCTTGGGATGAGACTGCGCTGAAAAAACAATACGCACTCATTGCCAATGTACACATTAGGCCACACTTGGTTGACATGTCCAGTGGGCCGTCTGTCACTCAACAGGAAGTGCTGTAATTCAGCAACGGATGGCGTTTCATAGGCACACAGCTCCTTGAAAGACATCCTGACCCAAAAATAAATAAAATCATGTTAATATGCCTGACATGCAGTTTAGAAGCATTCTCCATTCCTCTTTATTTCAACATATTTAAGCCACCTGAGGCTGTCTTGTTGCTAAGAGCACATTGACACTCCAATTCAGCTCTTAACATCATTAAAATGAATACTGACTGTTTTTATGGAATATCATTCCACTTAGGATTCCCTGACTGTCGTGGCAAACGTTTACAGATAAGGTGTGGGAAAGAAAACGTGTGATGCCAGAGCTGTGAGCGATTCACTGAGGCTGGCTTTCATAATAGCTCTCAAAAACACCAAAATGTTACTTTCTAAGAGCCTCTAAAATCTCCCCTCCTTTTGTGAACTTACATTTAGCGCCTTTTTTCCCCTCTTGTTCTCAGATTGCTTGCTCTTCTCTCCTTGGTCAGGGACGTTGTTGACAGCCAGTCCACAGATATGTCTCTGGAGGCTGTTTCTTTTTTTAAATGGTGTATAATTATAAACCTCCCTGGATACAAAGAGCTCTTCCAGGTTTTAGTGGGCAGTCAGGTTTGCTTTTAGAAGACTCTTTCCCTTGACGATGATCTTTTGAGCATGTTCTGGCTGCAAATATTGTGTATATCTTGGCCAGACTCCCAATACTGTAACTCACTCTTGCAGCAGTGCAGACGAAGTTAAAGGTGGGTCATCAGTGGCTTTCGTTGGACACATACATCTTTATCATGAGTCATTGTGCAGGGAAATACACATCATCTCACGAGGTCTTGCCAGCTGCTAGGTTAAACACTCTTGAAATCCAGATGTTCCTTTCATTTGCCTTGAGGGCGAGTCTCTGATAAATGGTGAGATCTTTGCACATCCAAGTGCGGTGACATGCTCGGTAATTGGAGTGTGTCAGATACCCCTCTCAAAGATATGCTGTCTTGATTGTACTCCATCTGAAACAGTTTAGTTAGTGCTCAAATAAAACAGGAAAAGACTTAACTAAGAGTTGTTCTTTCCATGCCGGTAAAATAAGCTTTGAGACCCATAGTAATTACGGTTTTATGAAGCTATAAGGAATTAATGGCTTGGGTGTGAAAGCCACATACACCTGTTCCTTCTCAAGATCTGCTTATTACTTACTGTTACTGAAACCACATACTGTATACGAATAAATTACCATAATACCGTATGTTTCTAGGATTTTAATAGACTTTTGCTGCTTTTTTTAAAGTCCTTGTCCTGTTGAATCAAATAATACAGTGCAGTGGATTACACTGACTGGCTTTATTTAAAGGAGTAGTTCACTTTAAAAAAACTTTTGCTGATAATTTACTCACCCATGTCATCCAAGATATCCATGTCATTCTTTCTTCGGTTGAAAAGAAATTAATGGTTTTTGATGAAAACGTTCCAGGATTTTCCTCCATATAATGGACTTCAATGGGAACCAAACGGTTCAAGGTCCAAAAGACAGGTTCAGTGCAAACTGTTTAAAGGGCTTTAAACGATTTCAGGCGATGATTTCAGAACGATTTCTTATCAAGCGAAACGATCGCTCATTTAAAAAAAAGTAAGTTTTATAAGCTCAAATGGTCGCCTTGCTCTGTTCTGTGATGTGCGTTCGTGACTCTCCTGTTCAAACTCGTTCATTAAACTGAACGAATCTTTTCCAGAGTCAACTCGTTCATTTCGTTTGTTGAATGAACCAAAAGATTTGTTCATTTTGTTAAATGAGCAATCGTTTTGCTTGATAAGACCCTTATTCATCGTCTGAAATCGTTTAAAGCCCTTTAAACAGTTTGCACTGAAACTGTCTTTTGGACCTTGGCTTGAACCGTTTGGTTCCCATTGAAGTCCATTATATGGAGAAAAATCCTGGAATGTTTTCATCAAAACCTTAATTTCTTTTCGACTGAAGAAAGAATGACATGGATATCTTGGATGACATGGGGGTGAGAAAATTATCAGCAAAAGTTTTTTTTTTTTTTTTTTTTTAAGTGAACTACTCATTTAATCTTTATTTGGAAATGCATTGAATGTAATTTGTATTAAGTGGTCCAAATTTGCCAAGTTCAAACCCAATCCATGAATCATTCAGCCTGCTTTTCTTGTGCAGTTTTAAAAGTAATGGCTTTTTTTATTTTATTTTTCCTTCAAAGTAACATTTTCTCTACCATTTAAAAGTTTGGGGTCAGTGATCATTTCTAATACTGTTATTCAGCAAGCATATATTAAATTGATCGAAAGTAACAGTAACAGTGTTTACATTGATATATAATTTATATATATATATATCAATATAGCATAGTAGCATATAAATTATAGCATATTATAAAATAACCCTGTAAATGTATGGAAAACTGTAGAGATGGCCTACACTAAACCTGAAAGGCACGTTTTTTTCTATGAAACTATATATGCAATCAAACCAAATATTATTCAGACACCCGATATAATTTTTTCTATTTTTTTAGTGGGTGCAGAAGACTATAGTTAATTTCTGTAAGTGAGTATAGCAAAATAAAGTAAACTGTGCTATTTTATACAAAAAGATTCTTCATACAGTGGACTACCAGTAAAATCTATAAAAATCTGGCACTTTGACCTGACCATGTTTTGCTAAAGTTTTTTTTTCTTTAATTGCAAATGTGACCTTTTTACACCACATACTGAACAAAATTAAGCATTGCTTGGTAATTGGTTAACCTAAATTGGTATTATCTATTTCTGTACTTAAATTTAACAGCTGACAGCTACTCAACCTAATTCATTGTTGAGATAGTCTATTTTATGGTTCTTGTCATATTTTATATACCATTTATACTCTACCATTTAAAAGTTTGGGGTCAGTGATCATTTCTAATACTGTTATTCAGCAAGCATATGAAGAGTTCAGATGCAAAAGCCTCTAAATGCCATTTGAAATTTTCTTCTTTAATGATGATTTTTATCAAACTTGTATATTTAAGTTCAGTAATTTCACTTAAATAACAATTAATAGGTAATTATCATTGCCATTTAGGTGAAATCACTGAACTTAAATATACAAGCTTGATAAAAATGATCATTCTAGAAGAAAATTTCAAATGGCACTTAGAGGCTTTTGCATCTGAACTCTTCATATATTAAATTGATCGAAAGTAACAGTAACAGTGTTTACATTGATATATAATTTATATATATATTATATTAATATTCACTGTAATTGTAATAAATTAAATGCAGTCTTGAAATTTTTAAATGCTTACACTGTGTATGTTTTTAGCTATGCTTTTCTATTGCTATTTCACCAAAGCAGTTTGTTTAAGCATGTTGCTGCTGGGCTGATCTGTTTGTTCTTTTTATCCATGATATCTCAGGCTTGACAGTCTTCCCTGAGAAAACACTGACACAATGTAATCACGTACAGATGCATCTGTTTTCCAGAGCACTTTTGTGACACTAATGTGGTCATCAACATCACCCCCTCTGTGCCTCTAGTTCCTCCACAGTCATTTCAGCAGATGACTTCGCTTAGCAGAATATATATACACACACTTGGCTTAGCTGCTTGCGTCTGTTGCCTGTTTCTGTTCTCAACTGCTTCCATGATTTATCATCGTACAGTGTATGCCAAGTAGCTAATCAGGAAGCAAAGTACTGTCTTAATTGAATATTCTCTGAAAGCGAAGTATGTCCGGGGACTCGTGTGGGTCCTGCTTCCTCTGGTTGCACAGCTGCAGGTCACGCTGTCAGGGTGACGACAGTCCAGAGTTAGTTTCTCTCCTCAAGGTTTCTGTGGGTTAATGCTGTTCTATTACAATCTTGGTTGGTTATACCGTTCCCTTAAATTACATTTGCATGATGAAATGTCATTGACAAATGATAAAGGACAGGTTTGAATGATTGAATCAATGATCTATTTAGCAATGTAGCATTTTGTTTAATGTCATTGAATTTCACAAAAGAGGCTTGTGTTAATGTAGCATATGAAGGATATCAGGTGAAAAGAAAAAAGGAACATATTATGGGAGGACACAGCATAAAAAAACAGCAAGATTTTAATTTGAGTTTTTTTCATGGCACAGCACTGAACCCTGCTGGAAGCAGTCGGAAGCACAACGGAAAAATTAAGCAAAAGTACAGTAGAATAAATGAATAAAGTTATACCCTACCCTAGAAAGGATCATCTAGTCAATATAATAACTGACACATAACTTGAATATATCTTAACATGACTGTGAGGTAAATGATTGGAAATGTATTACATATAAAACAAGAAATGTTTGCCTAACTAACATGCAAAAACAAAGCACTTTCTCATTTGTTTATTTTTTAAATCAATAAACATACAAATTAAGTTTACTTGGCACCGTCCACTAGTGCAGTTGTAATACTTTCAAAAAATACAGTGACCAATATTCATCCTGCTCATGGTCAATAGTGTTTCATGTCCAATGAAATGTTTTAAGTATACAGTGCATTTGACAAAACTGTTTATACACCAGTAAATGTTCTCCAAGATAACAAAGGAACTTCTGTGAATCAATGACCTGAATGAAACACCTTATTCTGCTATTAAAACAAAAAGGTGCACTAAAAATCAAATCAGCGAGTGCTGCTCAGTCATTTTAAACAAGGCTTTTAGTATTAAGTCAACAGAAGAATGTTGTGCTTGGCCTGTATAGTGCTCCAAATTTGGCTGCCAAAAGCAACGTAAAAGCTAATACTGCTCACAGGGAGTGTTTTCTCTGCAGCCGAATAATGAGCCTCAATTCAATCATTTAATACTGCTTAATTTGGTGTTCTATGCCGTATACTGACTCCACTGTTAAATATTATTCGCTGTGTGAGCAGCATGTGGCACTTGTGTGCTGTGGTTCTTGAATATATCAAACAGATTTTCATAAAAAACACCATTCTTCAACACAATTCTTCAGTTACACCACATTGTACAGTGAAATCCTCCATGTTAATATGTCAATGCAAGTTAAATATTTTTAAAACTTTAAAGTGTTTTTATAGCTAAATTATCGCATTACAGTTTATAGCATAGTAGCATATCAATTATAGCATATTATAAAATAACCCTGTAAATGTATGGAAAACTGTAGAGATGGCCTAGACTAAACCTGAAAGGCACGTTTTTTCTATGAAACTATATATGCAATCAAACCAAATATTATTCAGACACCCGATATAATTTTTTCTATTTTTTTAGCGGGTGCAGAAGACTATAGTTAATTTCTGTAAGTGAGTATAGCAAAATAAAGTAAACTGTGCTATTTTATACAAAAAGATTCTTCATACAGTGGACTACCAGTAAAATCTATAAAAATCTGGCACTTTGACCTGACCATGTTTTGCTAAAGTTTTTTTTTTCTTTAATTGCAAATGTGACCTTTTTACACCACATACTGAACAAAATTAAGCATTGCTTGGTAATTGGTTAACCTAAATTGGTATTATCTATTTCTGTACTTAAATGTAACAGCTGACAGCTACTCAACTTAATTCATTGTTGAGATAGTCTATTTTATGGTTCTTGTCATATTTTATAACCATTTTCTAAACAATGGCGAATTAACTGTGATAATGTGAGAAATGTTGAGGATGTGAGAAATGTCTGAATACATTTTGGTTAGACTATATAAATATAGATATATATTTATATTTACCTCATAAATAATGTAAACATTGCTTGTTACCTCTTCACCCTTTAGTTATAAAATGAATGCATGTGCTTTCGTGTTCATTACATGTGTTGTTTTTTCTGTCAGAGAATAGGACACAGCATTCGCTTTCTCTGAAGCTGAATGTCCAAATCCAGGAGAAGGCTCAGAAAGTTCCTGTTAGGATAGATTGCACGTCGCAAAACAACCGTTTGGATGGCAGTGCGGAGAGTAAGACGCTGACGCAGCATAAGGTACGCTAGAACCAGTGTGGCAGAACGACTCATTCCCATGATGCAATGAACAAGCACCTTACCTGCAGATAAAAGACACAGACCGTAAAGGTCAAGAGGAGCTGCAAATACTATTGAAATGAATATCTGTAGAATCAAGATAAGTTTTAGGTTAGAGGGGAATATAAAGAGATAAAGAGGGGATGCAGCTGTTTTCAGAGTATTTTAACAACAGAACAAGTTTCTTTTTCTGTTCTCAAAATTATGTGAAAGTCTCAAACTATGGATGGTTTTAAATTGTATTTAAAATGAGTTCTTATGGGTTATGTATGACAGGGAAAGGTTTTAGAAATACTTGTATCTTAACTATATTAACAATTATGAATCCGTGTTAGTTTAAAAATGGACTTCAAATTCCTCCCCAGTGCATTTTGATAGACTTGTTTTGCATTTTTGGTCACTCACCATTCTTTTTCCTCAAAGCTTTGTGGATGAAATCAGAAGCCGGCTTAAAGTGGACACTAAGATCAAATGATGAAGTGTCTTCTGCTGGGATGCCATAATATACAATTGTATTTCCATAATAACTCTGGTCCCCAATGCTGCCTTGCTTGGAATGGGCAGCGTTTAAAACATGAGTGATGCCCATTTTTTGTAAAGCTTTTCTATTTTGAGCAATGGCCCTATAAAAAAAGTGAAAATGTGTTATGTAATGTAACAGGACAACCTCTATGACATTAAAAGTGAAGCAACTGCAGAACTGATTTAACTAAAGGGAAGCAGCACATTGTGACTGAATCTCAATCAAATAAGTAGCTTTGAATAGAATAGTATATCTTCTCAAATTCTTAAAGATAATATATAGGCTAATATATAATAATAAGACTAAATGTAAACCACAATGACATTGCTCGCGTGCTATAAATCTTTAAATAAGAGATACGATGCCGCATAGTTATGTAGGCTACTTACACATTTCCGATGTACAGGTTCGGCCAGACCTCGTCGACTGGAGTTAGATCAAGTTTACATGTGTCCAGAACATTCTCTAACTCTTTAATAACCAGGAGTCCGTGTTTATGTTTCTGAGCTGTCATTCTTCTGAAATGACCCAAATCAAACTTACTCCCGTGAATATTAATTTCTTCTGTTTTCCCGGGGTTCAGCAGCATACATAATCTGTTTGGCACGTCGTGATTCATACAAACAGGTGCTCTGTCTTTATGACGCTTCTCGGTCACCAGAAACCGCTGACCATTTCAGCTCTTCGATGTCGATAGACGCCTGTATCTGTGTACAACAGATCGTGTGAATGACCAGGGCAGGGGGCGCCCGGTGGCTCGGAAAGTCCAACCTCCATTGAGTCGCATTCAAATCTTTTGATGTTTTTCCTTATACTGGAGACATTTATTCTCGAAACAATACAACCAATATATTGGAATTAATGTGAATTCCAAGGCATGGTCCCTGACATGTAAATTGACTTATAGCTTGACAGTCTTAATAAAATTATTGAATAAAATGGCTGCACCAGTAACGTTAATCACGTATTGTGATTGGCCCATCTTGACTAGCGTGGGGAAAAGTATCAAGCACCACGTGATCAGTCATGTAGGCTATTTGTAGCCCACTACATCAGTGCCTTGGACCAGAACACTGAAATATATTTAACCCCAGGTTTGACAATACATTGTACATTGTAAAGATTTGTTAATTATTATGTAGCCTATATCTTAACTGACGTCTAGGCCGCGCCAACATATTTTTTAAAAAAATTGTTTCTCATTGCCATTCTAGCTTGTTCCATTTCTACGGACATTGTGATCTGTTTCACAAGTTACGGATGATTCATCCGATGACGAGAGAACGAGACAATAAGTGACAATTGTGTTGAGTGACCATCGGTGAACATTTGGAGTATTGTACATAGTGGAACAATTAAAGAGAAAAACAGAGTAACAGTGTTTGCTGATCAGCTTTGCAGTTGCATACTGATCAGCTCAAGATTATATACAATATAGCTATCAAAGATTGTATCTGAGGTTTAATTTGTGTCCAGTATTAGGGGGTATTCAGTAATTAAATATTAAAATACTAAATATTGAAAAAAAGAGCCTACATTTAACCAAAGTACAACACAAAGCTGTGATTATACATACCAGAAATTGTTTTTTTATTATGTTAATGATGATTGTTGTTGATAACTGCAGGAGTAAATGTCATTAGATGTTTGAATTTATAGATTTCAGAATTGGATGCTTGTTTAAAAAATATCAAGCTACTTTGCCTGTGCCTTGTAGTTTAATTCATTACCGAGAGTAATTAACTGCTTCAGAAATCCACGGTTTGGAAAGATCCATCTTCTTTCTTTCACTTTCAAGATGGCATCCACCAGAGAGTAATTGCAATAAATCATTAGGTAAGCTAAGACCAGAGCAGCGGAACGGCTCACTCCCACAGCACAATGCACAAACACTTTAGCTGTTGAAAAGAGATACAATCATGAATCTGATCTATCTATCTATCTATCTATCTATCTATCTATCTATCTATCTATCTATCTATCTATCTATCTATCTATCTATCTATCTATCTATCTATCTATCTATCTATCTATCTATCTATAAACTAAATTAGATATCAATTAATAATTCAAATAGATAAAATAATAACAAAAGAATATTAAACAGTGTTGATCGTGCCTAAAAAATGTTATACTATTTTAAAAATTGAAATTAAATGTTTTTACATACCATCTGTTGTGCTGAGAGCATCATTAATGTAGTGTGCTGAAGGGTAGAAAAAAGGTGAAATATCAAATGTAGGCAGATCATTGGCTGGGACACCGTAGTACTTCACAGTTGTACCATAAAAATCATCTCTTCCTTTGCAACACATTTTACCATGTGCAGCATTTAAAACATGAGTTATACCCAGTCTCCATAGGCCATATCTGTCATGAGACATGTACCTGTTTAAGAAAGAATGACATATAACTACTAATATTTTCTTGTAATCAACAAATCAAATAGAAGTTACATGACAAATGCACTTACATGTCCCCCAGAAACAAATTAGGCCACACTTCATCGACATGGTTACAGGACAGCTGACCCCCATGTAATATATCCTCCAGCTCTTCAATAGAGGGCGTTTCAGACAAAATGTTGCCCACTGTTCGATCAACATTCTCCATTTTTAGGAATAAGAGCATTGGGGAGATCTCACAACTTTATAAGAAGTCTACTACATGAGTGACATTTCCAGGTGTGATACTTCTGCATTACCCTTTCCCCCCAGTAGATGTCAGTGTATGGTCACTTATTTAACACAAGTCCTTTTTCCAAGTAGTGTAGGCTATGCCAAGTTTGCCTAATTGGCCACATTGTTAAATGAGCCTAAATCACTGACATCTCTCCCTTTTTAAGCGTGTGGTATAGGCTATAGTATATTTCATTAGAAATACATTATATTTTTGTAGAGCATTTTGATAGAATTAAGAAAATGTTTCAACTTTTAGACCTCTGTGAAACAAGAAAATGTTGGGCCTCTGGAAACTCACTGTTCACGTTCAGACAATCAATAACACTGCATCCGGTGCATGGGCATTAGTATGCCTGTTTTCACCACTTGAGTATTACAAAGCAAAAACCTATATTCAAAAAAAATAAAATTAATCTAATGGACAGTGTGCCACTAGTAAGAAGAAGCCAAGAAGTTTGGCCGACCGGTAGAATATGAATCAAAATGAAAATAAAGCAGACACCTGTGTGTGAGGTCATTGGTTAAAACTGTATAAAAATAAAGATAATGTTTGCAATCTCACTTAGCCATTTAAAATTGGATTTTTTTGCAAAGAGAAGACTTTTTCCAAAACAGCGGCTGCTTTTTTCCTTTTCAAATAGGCCTAATTATAGAGCTTACACAGTAAAAAACGTTGGGTTATTTGTTATTTTTAACCCAACATTTTAAGTGAGTGTGGGCTGTGGATGAGCAATAGCAGTAGTTGTTTAATTATTTATTGGTGTATGATTCAAAGGATTTAATTAAATGGGATGAATCAAATCCCCTACCACTATTGGTTAGGTTACTGATTTTAAGTCAGAACAGTGTTGTCCTCTGCATGGCCATCACCAACTGCGCATGCGCTAGTGTTTCCGCTGCCGGGCACGCGCCTTCCCTATCCAAAACGCACGCGCTAGAGTCCTCCCGCAACATCCTCGAGAAGTTGGTCACGAGAGACCCGAGCGACCGTTTAGCAAAGCGCGAGAAACATCCATTTCAACACCGCGAGCAGGGTCGACTGGCCAGCTGGTGTCCTGTAGTTTGTTCAATCGGTTTTGTCGAAACGGTTGTGTTTGGCTAAGCTGTAACACACACCCCTCCCCGTGAGCAGTAGACTGAGCTCAGACAGGAGTTTGGTCATCAGCATCCGCTCCGCATTTTTTTTACGGTGTGCTAACTACTTAATCGCCTCCACCTTTATGGATTTTACTGTACGGTAGTTTTTTTTAAACGGAATAATTGAATACGCGAGACTTGTTTGACTGCGAGGCTTATTTTTTATCAGACGGGTGAGGTATATACAGAGAATCACACATGTAGCCGCTGTAAAGCTAGCTGAGGAAGTGGACTGTTACTTTTCCATCGCTGTGTGGAAGGAGTCGCTCGTCTAGATGATTCAATGTTATGGAGACGCGAAATGCCACATAAAGACTGACCTCGGTCACTTTCAGAGAGACTAATACCGTCGCCGCCATTCTCAGGATTACTTGGAGCTGTCTGCATTTGTAACGTTACAGTTAAATGAGTTAGCTAGGAATCGATCATCCGCAGCTAGCTAGCCCATTAGCCAACTGCCCAAGTGATTCGTTTTATTCAGTGTTAACACAACAGTTTATGTCGTGTCGTGTCATTTGTTTTTTTTAAACCGACAGACATATAGATTGCGTTTAGAAGATGTCCTTTTTCAATTTTCGGAAGATATTTAAGCTGGGCACGGAGAAGAAGAAGAAACAGTATGAGCACGTTCACAGAGACATCAACCCCGAGGAGGAGTGGGAGATCGTGGGAGAACTTGGGGATGGAGCCTTTGGGAAAGTCTACAAGGTAAACCTCATCATCCTCCAGTAGGTGATTGTCACCTGAGTGGATTAGCATTGTCCCTCTGACCCTACTGATTCATTTCAAAGGGGCGGATGTCTCCAAAATCTAAATGTCAATATTTATTTACCTTACGTCCTTTTCAAACCTGTATGACACAACGAGATGTTGTGAGAGACTACCAGCATAACTCCATCAATTGCATCTGTTTTCCATACAATGAAAGTAAATAGTTGCTGAGACTCGTTCTGACTAACAAACTCATTTTGTGTTCCACGGGATAAAAAAGGTGAAGATGACAGAACTATAATTTTAACTTATTAAATAAAAACCTATCACTTTAGCCGATTGAATGATCGTTTCCTGACCAGCACGTGATACTTTTTTTAAAACTGCTTGATGAATGACTTCAGTGTTATGAATAACTAGCACTAGCAACTATGGTATTTTGGCAGAAACAATTGTTACCATGGCATATTTTTGTTGAGGCAGTAGAGAAGTAAAGAAAAGGATGTAAACATGGGCAACTTTATCTATAATGTAGATTTATTGAACCCAACGACTTTCCACTCTCAATTGAAAACAATTTAATTGGAATAAAAATAGTCAAACACAACTAAGTAGTATTTAGATTCATTTAATCTGTTGACATTCTCAAAAGCCTAGTTAATGTAGTTTTGCTCGTGTTGTAGAACCAGTTGTAGTTGAATTCACACCATTCCTGTTAGTCCCTGCCTGCTTCAGACTTCAATCTGATGAAGAATGTTTCCATACTGCTCTTGTTTATGGAATGCATTGTGTTTATGACACCACAAGTTGGGTGTGACATTCTAAATAAATTGTACTACGCACATTTTTGAGGTATCATAGTGACATGATTAAAATGTGGATAAATTAGTCTTTATTTAAAATTCTGCACTGGTTTTCACACATAACCAGCCTCAAAATATAATCAGTATGTCTCAAGTTTATGGACCTCTTTTGCTGAAATAAGTATTTGAAATGAGGAAGTAACGCTCTGTGTGAATGAATGTAGGGTCTTGTGCCGAGGTGTGGTGATGTTGATCAGGGTAAACCAGCAGGATATTCCTGCCAGTGGAAGCCTGCAGTGATGCTGGGGGTGTGGGGCACTTTGATACACATCTGAACTACATTTTCATGCGGTTTACCAGAGGTTCACCACTGTCTATTTTTATTTTTGCCATCTTTTATTCCTATCTTACCTATGGTGAAATACTTGAGTCACTTTAAAAAATATATTATAAGCAAAGCAAGTTATCAATAAATTAATGTACATTCCTGTCCAGTGAAAGCTACATCAGTGGATGTTATTCTAAAGGGAAAAACAATTGTTTGTCTTTTTAATTTTTAATCAAAACAAAACATAATAACTGTCCTCTGAAACAATTTTGCTTGTCAATGTGACTTCACTTAGGTCATACTGGCTGTTGGAAAATGTGATTCAGGCTTTGTTTTTAGAAATTTGATATGGCTATAATCATATGGCTATAGTCATTTCCAGATGGATAAAATCAAGCTCTGTTCTACATGTTTTCCCTTACAAGTTTAGTTTTTTCTGTGCATGTTTCGTTTTTCCTAAAAAAAAACAAATTAACATCAGAATGTTTGTTAAAATGTCATAACTGGACCATCTGGGGACAAATGCAGGACTATCAAAATCGAATCAACAACTGATGGATAGAGCCAAGCCACCCCACTTGATCTGTTAATTGTGATTTTCTGTTGTCTTTCTTTGAGCATTGAGATATATTGTATTGTATATTCTTATCAGCAGCACTTTATTATATTCTTATCAGCACTAGTACAATACAGTTATGATAAATGATTTCCGCTTTTGATGAACTATAAGAAGTGTGACCTGCCCAGACTCGCCAGTTCTGTGGAACATTAATGGAAAACAAATTAACCGTACACTCTCTCTCTCTCTCTCTCTTTAGCATGGTGTTTTCAGAAATGTAGAGGTTGTGTTAATTTCCTGTTGGGTTGAGGGTAGAAGTTGGTTTGAGAAAGCAGTACAAGTGAAATTGAGAGAGACTTTCTGCTACAATAAACTCTGGTCCACTCACACATTTGATGGTACACTTGACTCTTTCCTTTCTCTGTCTGCTCTTCTCTGTTTTCAGGTAGCTGTAAGCACTCAGAGGTTGATCCCAGAATAGAAACTGTTCTTTGGCATAGAAGGAGAATGGTTGAATGGAATAATGTGTTACACCCGTCATTAGTCACATCCGATTTGAATAGAATATTCTGGAGTTGTTAGCTAATGCAAACACTAGAATAATTAATGGATGCATGTATTTCCTCAAACAGCCTCTGGCACGCCTTTAAATGAGGTAACCCTGTCATGCTTCTGTTTTTCTTTTTTCTGCTTTTTTAAAGATAAAGAATAGATGTTGTTGCTTATGTATCAGTTGCAGGTTACAGGGAGGGGCTGATCTTTTACAATATATTTCAGGGTTTTTTTTATATCATATAAATATCTCATGGTCAATATTCCAGAATTTCATAATACAGTTACAAACGGGATGTCTGTTGGCTTATTACTCAATCATTATTGTAATAAATTAGTTAGTTAGCAAAGTCAGTGTGCTTTGATGGTTATAAGTTTCATTCTGAATGTCTCTTGTTGCTGTGAAAATGCTTTTGTAATGAAGTAGGTCAAAGGCAATAGGCTAATCTCTGGGTACTTTCAGGAATTTGCTTCTCATTCAGCCATTTTACAGGTTGTACACAAGTTCCTTATTTTTTTTCAATAGTTTTACTAATAGTGCTGCTCATGCCATTAAAGGGATCCTCCTATTATGCCCTTTTACAAAGTCTTGATTTTGTTTTTGGGGTGTACTAGAAGAATATGTTTTAATGCTCTGATTAAAAAAACTCATTATTTTTCACGTATTGTATTATCCTCACTCCCCAGTCCGTCTCGAATGCACCATCTAGGTCCTGTTTTCATTAAACCCCTCCATCCAAAAGCTAGCCCAGTGTGTCGTGATTGGCACACCGTAGTGCATGTTCAGGAAATGTCCCGTCCCTCCATAACTGTGTTTTCTGCTCTATTTTAAACCGTTTATATTAAGGATGGTGTAAATTTCAAACCAATTGAAAGCTCGATTCAGACCCTGATGATGTTAAC